ATATATATATATATATATTATAGTATAAAATTTAAAAATTAATAAATATTAATATATATTTAATAAAGGTAATTGCATGTATTGGAGAAAAATTGGAAGAAAGAGAAGCTGGTAAAACAGAGGAAGTAGTTTTTAGACAGACAAACGCTATTGCAAATAAAATCAAGTCATGGGATAATGTAGTTGTTGCTTATGAACCAGTTTGGGCAATTGGAACGGGTAAAACAGCCACACCACAACAAGCTCAAGAGGTTCATGAAAAACTAAGAAATTGGTTCTCTAAAAATGTTAATCAAACTGTCGCAGAAACTGTTAGAATTATTTATGGAGGTTCAGTAACAGCAGGAAATGCAAAAGATTTAGCAAAAGAGAAAGATATTGATGGATTTCTAGTTGGTGGAGCATCTCTAAAACCTGATTTTGTACAGATCGTTAATGCTAAGCAGTGAGATGAAATATTCTTTATATAAGAATATTATTCCTTAAATTAATATACACTCTAAGAATGTGTATATTATAATAAGTATAAAATAAGTAAGAATTAATTTATAAATATTTTTCTTGTTGTTTGTATAGAGAAAGTTTTATGTCATGTTCCTGCAATGAAGAGTTATTATCCTACAATTAACAATAAAATATATATTTCATTCTTCTATTCTTAAAAAACGTATGCTTATTGTAAATATATAATCATTAATAATTCAATAAATGTTACAACAAAATGTAAGTTTCACAATTTATTTAACCTTTTAATCTAATTCATCAACTAATCCTTTAATCATAACATTTTCAGGCATAGAATTATTGGCAACTTTTGGATCACCTCCAAGTTTTGCCTTTGCACAAGCAATATCAGATAAACATTTAAATGTTCGTGGTTCCCAAATAGCCAAATTTGCTAATGATTTGCGATTTAATAATATATTACATCTACTTAATCCTTCTAATAACACTTTTAAACCAATACCATGTTCATTTGTAGCAGCATTTATTCTAGTTTCCCAAAGCTATACGAAAAAGGAAAGATTAATTATATAATATTCTAAAGAAAATTTTTCTTGCATAATACCTCTTTCATATCTTGTTTTTTAAGTTTTCTTCCTATTCTAGAAAATTGTAGTGCTCTATGTACACTTTTAATAGTTAAGCTATAGCAATTTCTTCTCCTTCCAATATAATGCTGGAAAGTTTTTATTTTGATTAAAATTTTATTTGGCATAATTTTTTCCATTCTTTTTAAAATAAGTGTTGTATATTTACCGCAGCGAGTTTGAATATTTGTCGTTTTCGCCAGAATTCATCAGGACCCCGACATCTCACAAATAACTGTGCAGTTAAAAATACCATTTTTCTTTTAAATTTAAATAAATAATAAAAATCAAATGTTTATATGATATTTATATAATTTTTATTTTCACAAATATAGTGCATAAGCAATCACATAACCTAAATATTAACTTATAAAATTCCCAAATTTAATATTTAAAACACATTATATGTTGTACATTAAATAGTTATTTATATGTCTGACTAAAGTTAAAATATATCATATAGGGACATTTTACGTTCGTAGTAAAGACTCGTGTAAAGATTTTGACTCGAAAATTTATAATAAAATAAATCACTAATCAGAAAATTGAACACTGCTATAAATGAATAAAATATAATGATTCAAATCAAATAATATTATAATTATTGATCAAAAAATTATATCGAGATCAAGAGAAATCACAATAGAAAATTTCTTGAAGATATATTCATATTCTTATATCTTCAAAAAATCATTAAATTTTATTCGAGGAATAAGAATAAGTGCTTCTAATAAAATTATTAAATGTTTCTAATAAAATAATTTTTCTAAAAATAATAAATACGAATTATTTTTTATTATTTGTGCAAAAAAAAATTTGTTTTACACAATAAGTTAAGTTTTTAAACAAAGTTCTGTAAATTTTATAAAGTAAAATATACAATCACGTGTTGTATGATTCTGAAATACTTTTGACTATAATTTTTCTATTATATATATATATATATATATATATAAATTTTAATATGAAAAATAAAAAGAGGTAAAAGAAGAATTGTCTTGAATAAAATACTAATTTAGTATAATAAAATACAGATTTTTGAAAATATTAAGTAAATTATATTCCATTTATTTATAATGTTTAAAATGTGTTTTTTATGTTATTAATTACTATATAATGTATATGTACTTGATTTTTTTCAGTAAAACAGTAAAGGTAACAGAAATGAGTAAAGAAACAGAGAATTTGGAAAATATAGATATAAATGATATCACAAATTCTGAAGAAGAATATTCTGAAAATGAACGCAATTTACTTAGAAAAATACGAGAAAGACAATCTTCAGAAAGTTATGATAGTGATTATGAAGTATATGGATTACATGAAGAAAATGAACAAGATCAAGATAACACTGAAAATGAAATACAAACAGATTCTATGGAATCTGATATTGAAGGATTACGAGAAGATTTTGATCTGCCAAATGAAAAAGCTTGGGGAAAAAAGAAAAAAGATTATTATTCTACAGATTATGTAGATCCTGATTATGCCACTGCCAATCAAAAAGATTTAGTTGAAGCAGAAATGGAAGAAGAAGAGGCTAGAAATATTCAAAAAAGACTGGCAGAACAATTGGATGATGTTGATTTTGGATTGGATATTATACAGACAACAAAAAATGATAATCAAAAAATATATGAGAATGCAGAACAATTTATAAAATCTGATCTCAGTAAACTTAGTAAAAGACAAAAGCAAGCAATAATGCAAAAAGAAAGTCCTGAATTTGTGGTTCTTGTAAATGATTTTAAAGGTATTATAATAAAAAAAGTTTATAAATTATTTTTAAGTAAGATAAAATTTGAAATATAAATATTTTCAATATATATTTTATTATTTAGATTACATGACTGAAGCAAAAGATTTATTAGCACCATTTTTAAAATTAGTTAAAAATGGTATAATACCTAATTGCCCTGCTGTTTCTTTCATAAGGATAAAATATCATCTTTTGTTAAATTATTGTATCAATATATCTTTCTACTTGATGCTTAAAGCAAAAAGATTACCTGTTAGTACTCATCCAGTTATAAAACGTTTAGCACAATATCGTCAATTATTAAATCAACTTGAATCTGAGCAAGGAAATTTAATTCAAGAAATACAGGAAATATTAAAAACTAAAAAAGAAGAAAAAATATTATATAACATATTGGATAACAATAAAATGAGTATCAATAAACAAAAAATAAGTCATTTCAATGAAAAAACAAATCATATAGAAAAATTTGTAAATGAAGATACAAATATATATTCATTAGAATCTGAATCTGATTTTGAAATAGAAAATGAACATACAAATGAAAAAATAGATTTACAGGATAGAGAAAAAAATAAAATAGAAAATGTTGATACATTAAATACTATAATTGATGATGAAGGAAAAAGAGCAATTACATATCAAATAGCAAAAAATAAAGGTTTAATGCCGCATCGTAAAAAGGAACAACGTAATCCTAGAGTAAAACACAGAAATAAATATCGTAAGGCCAAAATTCGTAGGAAAGGAGCGGTACGTATATATTTTCTTTAAATAATAAAAAATAATTATTT